AAATTTAAATTGTACTCTTAATAGTTTATAACATGAGAATTATGCTGACTGTTATTTACATCAATTATTTAGGTAAATGAGAAAAATACCATTTGCATAATAATTTGGAACACTGTGTATATTGTATACTTGGATTGAATATTGTAACAGTTGGGGGGAGGTGTATTATAGATGCGCATACCATTTGTACATGATTTTGTTTTACCACAGATATATATTGCACACTGCACATGGGAAGTAGGACATTCTGTTGTCCTTTTTTTAACCAGAGATATGTAGCAGAATATGAATACATTTATTTTTTTAAATGGATAGGTGTTATAACAAAGTAAAAAAGTGTTTTTTTTTTTCCCCCAAGAGAGTCTTTTTTTCTTCATTCAAATGCCACCAAAAGAAAGCTATATTTGTGTGGGAAAAAAATAGATATAAATTTAATTTAGGTACAGCGTTGCATGAACACGTGATTACCAGTTAAAGTAGTGAAGTGCAGAATAGCAAAAAAATTGCCCTGATCATAAAAAGGCATAAAACCTTCAGAAGCTCAATTGGTTAAAAGCATGCCCAGGGGGCAGCCCTCTAGCGATGCCCCCTGGAAATGCACTATAATAAATGATGCCAAACAATACTAAATCATATAAACACAACAAAATCAAACACAAAAATGTCCACTCTGAACATGCAAACTGAGCTATGATCACCAATGCTCTAATTGTGATATAACAGAAAATATAATCCACATGTATATAAAAACGTTCATAAAATGATAATCCAATATTGAAAGCTATCATCACCCATGTGATATAGAACAGATCTGTGCACCCAAGTAGAAAGGACACACTCCAGCTTCTTACCAGATTGTAATAACCATTAAACTAGTGAATGGTCTAAGAGAGCATAAGGGGTTGTAGCTGGAGGAAATTACCTCCAAAAAACCCACCTGGAGCCAGCAAACCATGAAAAAAGATAGAAGACATCCCCCCACCTTGAAGTGGTTGTGGCAACTTCATGCAGAAGTGGGCTCCACAGCAGGTTTGGGGTTCTAGGACTGCCAGGAACATTTGAGTGCAGGGAAAGACGGCTTGGCAGGCTTGTCCTTGGAGGATGAGCCCTGTCCACGAAAGAGGTTTGTGAGCAGAAAGGGATGGTCCTGCCTTGCAGCAAGAGTCTTTAGGCTTACAAGCTTGAGGAAGGAAGGTGCTCTTGCCCCCCTATAATATTCTTCATGTCATCCACAGACACACTAAATAGGCGGTCACCAGTGAACAGCATTTCAGTAAGCACCTTCTTGTAAGTCTTGTCAGCACTTAAGCCAGAGTAGACATTGTAAGACCAGTGTAGAGGAAGTCATATAAAAAGGAGACCAACTAACGGCAATCCATGGCCCCATTACACAAGTATTGGAGCCCCTGTATTGATACATATCAAAATAAATAGAGGAGACCTGTTCAGAAGCAAAACCTTGGCATAGGGAGTTGGCCCACTGTCAGCGTCTGGGAAACCATAGCCGAGGTCAAGACCGGGTTGGATCAAGGCCCCAGAAGCTGCATACAGCGAGAGCGCAGAGTTCTCCAATTTCTTGTCTGAGGGGTCCTAAAAAGATGGAGTATCCTTAAAAGGAATAATGGTAGCATTATTTAGGTGGGAAATAGGGGGGAAGGAGGCCACTTTTGACAAAGACCTGAGAGTCTGTAGCTGGGGTCTAGGAATCCATCTTAAGTGTTTCCCTGACCACCGCAATGAGATAAGAGATCAATTCCTTCGCTGCCGCTGGCAGGTCCCCTTCACTGTTTGAGCAGGAGGGATATGCCGCTGGAGTCTCCGGAGGTGAGGAACAGGGTAGCTTTGTGTTCGGTTCAAACAATGATGCGGGAGAAAAAGGGCGCTTGGCAGCGGGATTGACCAAATAGTCCTAGGTGCAATAAAAAAAAAACAAAAAAAAAAACACCTTTCCACAGCATTTGTTCTAAGAGTAAAAAGGTGAATGAGGGCCCCCAAGGACCCTGACACTGCCTGACTGGTGTCCGAGGAAGGGGTGGGCACCACTAGGACTGGGAGAGTCTGGCAGGCAACATACAATAGTTCTACTAAGGAGAAAGTACCCTCTGTGCCACAGGAGGAGCATGCAGTGGTGGGTTCCCTGACGGTTTTTTGTTACCCACTTGCCTAGACTCTGACATGCTAGCACCTGGTAGAGGATAAGGAGTAGCATCCCCACCCTACACAAGACATACCTACTGCTGGAAATCAGGCTGCCAAGACATCACAAAAGGGAGAGAGGAAATCTGGCGAAGAAGTGGAGGAAGGAGCTGATGCAACACAGTTCCTCTGTAGACTGGCAGTGCCCAGCAGAGAGAGGAGTGCTGCAACTTCTCCTATCCCAGCGCCAAACTTTATGTCCGGGGAAGTGAGTGAGTGCCTCCCACCAGCTCCAGGAACAGAGAGTAGAACAGCGCAGAAATATCGTTCCACCCCACCTCCACTTCCTCACTCTCTTGCTGCACATAGGTCCCTGAGAAAGGAAACAAACATGATCTGCAAGTCTGTCATCTAGGAGATACAGAACACAATTCTCAGTTTTACACAGAAGTTAACTGTTACTGTGCAAACTCTAACAGTCCAAAGCCCCTGACCCAGCTCACAATAAAGGCAGAAAAGAAGGTAAAGGGGGATTGGGGGTCAAAAAAAGAGGGTAACAAACCAACAAAAGGTGAAAGGAAGATCTCAAGGAGAGATCACAGGGCCCAGAAAATACAGATAAATACCTATAACACAACAGTCCCATCACCACACAGGAGATATACTTACAGTCCTGAGGGCAAATCTGGGATTTGTAGTTCCCCAAAGAAATCTCCAGGTGGGGGCACAACACCTCTTATCCTATAATGATCTGAGTGGTGTTGGGCAATCTGAGATGCCATGACTGAAGAGCCCAGTACATCATTTCATAAGTGTCCACCAAGAGGTGCTCGACCTGTAAGCTGCTCTGAGGAGCAGTCATCACAGCCAATCCTTCTAAAATGGGGACAGCAGGTACTTTTACTTTAAAAAGGATAAGTTCACCTTTGGGAACATGTTACATATTGCTTGCTGTACGGGATGTACGGTCAAGCAAATATTCTGACAGGAAGTGGGGGGTGGGGGGCGCGGTCACAGCTATGAGCATATGTTACATGATCCAACCTAAAAACGGGTATTTAGGGTGGATCATGTAACATTCTCATAGCTGCGACCGCGCCCGCCGCCCCCCCACTTCCTGTCAGAATATTTGCTTGACCATACATACCGTACAGCAAGCAATATTCTGACAGGTCTACGGGAGACCTGCATAGCATCAGCGATCTACTGATTGCTGGTGCAATGCTCTCCAGGCACTTATCCTTTATAAGTTGCATCTAGCATCCGGTCCCAGAAGGTGGAAGTATAAAACCCATGCCCATTATCAGTCAAATCTTAAGTGTTGATTCACACGTGTGGTGCAGATTGAAGCTCCGGTTTCACAGCCAACTGACATAGTAGTTCCACAGTTCCGGTCAGGTTTGCATCAGGTTCAGGACAGGATCAGGTCAGGATTTTACCCTGTTCACACATGTGCGGTTTAGAAATCGGTTCCCACAGAAGTCAACAGCTTGTAATCTGTACCTGAACCAGACCACACTGCTCAGAAATCGTACAGGACTCTTTCAATGCGCACTGAACATATGTGAACCGGCACATTAGGAAGCAATGTTGTTTCACGTCATGCAGATTTAATGTGTTTCAAATCACATTCAATCCACATATGTGAACCGGCACTAAATGAAACCCAAAGTCACCTCATTAGGGCGAGAGAGAGGACACGTGGGTGGTGTAACAATGATTAATAGAATCTCAGGGAAGGGGTAAAAATTTGGAGAGCTGCTTAGAAGAGAAGAAATATTCAAACTTTTTCCACTCTAGACAGAAAGATATGCCTTGATAGGGCATTCCATGCCCTCTTTCTGCAGATAGGACATCTAACAGTTTCGCCCTCACTTAGAGGGTGGTTACAATAAATGCAATGTGTGCATACCCTAGGCTGATGTTACAGAAGAAAATGCACACAATGAATAAGGGTATTAAAAAAGGGAAGGGGCTGCTTTCTGTAAACTCTATGGCTTGGGCAGGTAGCTGAGGCCTGATCGATCACAAAACCCTCTATATCAGAGGCAGCAACTGGGAACCAGAAACGCTATTGACCATAAAACATAGGGATCCTGAGATGGTTCAGAGGTTTATGCAGAAGTGGGTAGCTCACAGGAGGACCTGCAGGCATCACAGCAGTCACACTTAATACTAAAGGCTGCATTTAAACAGCACCCGATTAGATGTTAGCTAAGCACGATAGCTGTCACTGAAAACTTGTTTGCGGTCATCCTTTTTTTTACAAGCCACAGGTCATACACATTTGCATATTAGGTGCAAGGATACCTGATCCAGATGCATGGTCCTTGAAAGTATAACTATATAAATATTTAAAATATAAGTGGGGAAGGTTCTAGACCGTCAAGTTACCACCGAGACAAATGTCTCCAAAAAGACAGAGCGAATAAAGTCCAAGGATACAGTCGCCACTTTTTTCCTCAAAAAGTACACTTATGGCTGTGTCCCCTTTGGAGAGATTTTCCCCTGGTTAATGAAATAAAATGACAACCATACCAAACACATGAAGAAATCTACTGTCTCAAACACACAAAAAACTAATCAGAATTCCACATTAGGCTTTTATGGTTTCATCGGGAACACCATGAGAGAGGAAGTTGGGTAGCACATACATAAACATCCTAGAAAGCAAAAGGGAAAAAAATATAGGCTGGAATAAAGAAGAACCTAACAATCCAAACTCCCCTCATAGAACATAACCCAAACCTTTGTCCAAACTATAGTTAAAGCAGCCATTGTGATGAACTACATCAACTAATTAATATTTTAAGGGATTGCACAAACAGATACTTTAGTATAATAGGTATATTAAAGTTACTTACTCTTCATGTCATTCTTCAATACAACAATTCTTTTATGGCCATGTCCCTTTATCCAGATCACCTAAAAAAAAAAAAATTATATATATATATATATATATATATATATATATATATATATATATATATATATATATATATATATATATATATATACACACACACACACACACACACATATATACACATACATACATACACACACACACACACACACACACACACACACACACACACACACACACACACACAATTAGAAAATTAAATGGTTATAAATTTACCTTGCTCACCTGTGCAACCAATGCTGGCAAGCAAAACTGCTTTTCAATTAAGTTGCTTTAACTTTACAAGTTAGAAAAAAAAAATGGTACCAATGAACAGAACCCAGCATGACATTACCTGTGCAATTGCCCCCTTCGCCGACATATTTGCTGTATGCTGTACTAAACTCATGCAGGAAGATCTGCTGATAGTGATAGGTATGCAGCAATGAACGTACATTCTTTGCAAACAGATAAAGTGCCGTCAGCTGTATGCATTCTGCATTCATATCATTCGTATATACCTTCCAGAAAAAAAAAAAAAGAAAAAAAAATGTAGGACACTGCTAGCAAAACATAAAAAATCCACTGTTCAAATGGATTGAAAAAATTCTTACCTCAACCAGATAAGGAAGGCTTTTTAAGAGGTCAGTCAAGGACACAAAACCATATTCACATGGATTGAGGTGAATTCCATGAACACTTTCATATATACGGCACAGCTGGCCAACAGTAAGTGGTGATGGCTCATCCCATGACATGAGTAAAATAAGGAGCTGTGCAGTTAAAGAGCGTAGTGATTTTCTATTAATCAGCTGGATCTGCTTACCAGAGATTGTGTCTGTAACCTTACAAAAAAAAAAAAAAAAATTTGTAAGAAATTTCCTGTGTTTATTGAAGCACATTTATAGTACAAGTCAACAAATAAGAAAAATCCACTTTGTGCAGTGGGGCTTCCCTATACTGCAACAGTTAAATGCTCATAATGTCTAGGGGTGCTGGAATAAGGCATACTTCCCTTATTTTACGTGCTCAAACATGGGACTTCCAGCACTGCAACCGGTCTCCGCAGCAAAGCAGCAGTTGCAATCTAACCTCCAACACGTACAATATAGAGCGAATATCTCTGTATTGTAGGTTATGGCACTCAGACCAGAGTTTTGAACAAGAGGTTGCTGAGGCCAGCTGGAGCGGGGAGTAACACGGCCCTGTAGTCTATCCCTTAGCTTTGAGGGGGGCACTGCAAGGGTGGATTTTTTCATATTCCTGGAGAGTTGGGCTTGAAGATACTGCTGCCAGCAAAAAAAAAAAAAAAAAAAAAAAAAAAAGACCAACTTCAAAAAGCATAAGTTGAACACATTTCTGCTCCCAAAAACATATGCAGGCCTCACTTAAAGTGGAGTTCCACTCACCCTGTCAAACAGTGAGTCAGCAGCTACAAAAAACAAAACAAAAAACCTAACTGCTGACTTTTAAAAAATAGCCACATACCTGTCCTTCGGTGTGTCCTCCGCAGCCCATTTCACCGACCGTCCTGTGTTCCAGGGGCCGGCATCTTCAGTGTGGGTACCCGGCTCTGACAGCTTGCGGCTTCACAGCTGGGTACCCACTGCGCATGCGCAAGTAGTGCTGCACTTCATGAATGGTCCTGTAGTCTTCTGGGACCTGTCATGTGTCCCAAAAGACTACAGGGAGGGAGGGAGGACACCTTCCGCTTCTGGTCACCTAGGCGATCGGACCAGAAGTGAGAGCGGGTACCTTTCAAATTCGGGTACTCGCTCCCCCCGCCCCCAAAAAGGTGCCAAGCCTTAATGGGGAACGGTCCTTAAAGCAGAACTTCCCCTATTGGGTGGAGCTCCACTTTAAATCAGAAAGGTTGACTTTCTACAGACCAGTGTGACAAAATAGCCAGTTAACAGGATAGAGAGTTAAAAGCAATCAATAAAAAAAAATACACTAGGAATGACATTTTCATAAATTGCAACTCAAATAACGAGTTACCTTAACAACATGGCACAGTTTTTGCATCAGTGCCAGTACAGAGCTGACATCATAGTCGTGAAGCCTTAGACTGTAGCCAAATGTCTTGCTATATTCAGTAAGCAAGTCAGGAATCATTAAGGAGGTGTCTTTTTGACAGCGCAGCAGTTTAACAAGTTGGGAGGCCAAAGCTTTAATACGTTCCATTTCAGTCAGGGTCAAAATCTTTTCCTCCCCACACTCTAAAACCTAAAAAAATGATCGAGGCAAAAAATTCAGACTCCTCACTCTTTGATACAGACATATGAAGCATATGTTAATAGGGACAACTTCAAACACATACTAAAAGTTGACACGCTAGAAAAAGGTGCAGAAATTAACTATGTAACTATACAAGCTAACCTCAATGCACGGTTTAACTGGGCAACTATGTGGCAAATGAGGTTTAATGTTGATAAATTAAAGGTTATGCACTTGGGGACTAAAAATATGCATGCATCATACATACTAGGGGGGTACAATTGGGGGAATCAATGGTGGAGAAGGATCTGGGAGTTTTGGTAGATCACAAGCGTAATAATGGCATGCAATGCCAAGCTACGGTTTCTAAAGCTAGCAAAATTCTCTCTTGCATTAAGAGGTATAGACTCCAGAGAGATATTTTACCCCTGTACAAATCATTAGCAATACCTCATCTGGAATATGCAGTTCAGTTTTGGGCACCAATTCACAAAAAGAACATTGGGGAACTGAAAAAAATGTACAAAGAAGGGTAAGATGAGAGGAACCGAATATATTCTCTCTTGAGAAGAGGAGATTAAGGGGGGATATGATCAACATGTATATAAATACATCAGTGGTTCATATAGTGAACTCTGTGTAGAGCTATTCACCCTGATGTCATCCCAAAGGACAAGGGGGCACGCTTTACATCTGGAGGAAAAGAAATTTAATCTCCAAACATGGAATGGTTTCTTCACAGTGAGAGATGTGAAAATGTGGAATAGACTCCCTCAAGAGTTGGTTCCGGCCAGCTCAGTGGATTGCTTTAAAAATGGCCTGGATTCTTTCTTCGATACACAGAATATAACTGGATACTAACATTTATAGGTAAAGTTGATCCAGCGAATATCCAATTGCCTCTCGGGGGATCAGGAATGATTTTTTTTTTCCCTACAGGAGCAAAGCGGATCATGCTTTGCTGGGTTTTTTTTGCCTTCCTCTGGATCAACTGTGGGTATAGGATTATAACTTTTTTTTAATGGTTGAACTGGATGGATTTAGTCTGGATTTAGTCTGGCTGAAAAAAGACCTAACTATGTAAATACAAAAAGGTCTCGACAGGTCAAAAAAAATCTATTTTAAAAACCACAAACACACAGTTATGGTATTCTCATGACCAATTATTTCATTGCATTTCTCACATATATGCCAATCTGTGATAGGTAAAATAGACTACACAATAGTATTTCAGATTAGGGCAGATTAGTACCTCCTCAATGTACCTATAACCAAGACAGGGAGTTTAAAGCTTTACAAATAGTTTATAGCTGCACAAACCGTGAAACCTAAAGCTAAAAGTGAACACACAATGAAAATGACATTATATAACATACAACTATTTAAAGCTGAATTCCAGGTATGGGTTTTATGGCATCGCTACATTGGTCCACCTTGGACCAATATCAGTATGTATATTCCATACCTGTGGGATCCCCGTAAAAAGTGTAAATCACTATAGTAGTCACCACTACATCAGTGATCACAGCCATCTTCTGTGTTCTTAGCTGCCCTGCTGCAAAGTGACCATAGAGGGGAGCTTGATTGGCATAGGCATAATGCACACAGCTCCTTGCATTTTTTCCAATAAATGCAATATTGCCAGACTGGGCAAGGTGGAGATTGTAATGTTACTGCACTGCCAATCCTCTGTGGTTGCTATGCAGCAAAGAAACCGGTCAGCAAAGGGCTCAGAAGAAAGCAGCGATCAATATAGTACCGGCAACTACTACAATGATTTCCATTTTCTACAGAGATTCCACAGATACAGAATATACGTACTTACATTGGTTCAAGCTGGATCAAAAGTAACTACGCATAAAAATTCATACCTGAAATTCAGCTTTAACAACATACCTTGTGTCAACTGATGTCCATAAAAACAGGACCAACATTAAAGAGAAAAAAAAAAAAAAAAAAAAAAGCTTACCGGTCATTTTCTAAAGGTTTTCCAGGACAGCCCCTGAGATGTAGAGCTCCCTCCAGGAAAGGAGACACGTAAGCCCAGAACCTTTAAAAGGTGGTCTTCCAGGCTTCCTCCTTCAGTATTCCCAAGAACCGCAGGAAGGCACTAAGACAAATATGTACGCATAATCTTACATCGCCATAAGAAAAAAAATTAAAAAATCAGGGTGGGAAATCCCATCTGTCCTGGAAGACATCCAGAAAATGAGTTATTGGCAAGTCTAACTCTGGTTCTCTCAAAAAAAAAAAAGTCCTCCAGGACAGCCCTTGAGAAGATTATCAAGAACTTACCCAGTAGGGTGGGGCTACTGCCTAGAGGACGTTGCGCCCAATTGTCTACCTCCTGGATCCGCTTTCTAGTGCGGATCAAAAGTTTCATAAAAAAGTTGCTGGACCAGGTGGCAGCTTTACAGATCTGCTCTTGCAAGGCACCAGTTCTCTATGCCCTTGATGCTGACAAGGCTCTGGTTGAGTGTGCATTGAGAAACGGAGGCAGACTTAATTATACGACTCTACGATAGCAAACCTAATCCACCTCTCTATGGTGGGACTTGGATGCACTGCAACCCTTCCGTGCACCCCAAAAAAGTACAAATAAAGAATAAGAATTTTTCAATTCCTTGGAAATTCTAAAAAGGTAAGCCAAAAGGCTTCTTCTAACATCCAATAAACTCAATCTTTCCTCCTCCTCGTTTGCGGGAGATAAACAGAAGGTCAGCAAAACTATATTTTTAGACCTATGAAAGGAGGAGGAAACTTTGGGAAGAAAACAGGATCTGTTTTGAGAACAATCCAATCTTAAAAACACTGACAAAAAAAAAAAAAAAAAAAAAAAAGTTCCCTAATGGAAAGCGCATGCAACACGCTAACCCTATGGGCTGACGCGATTGCTATAAAAAAAAAAAAAAAAAGTCTTTAAAGTTAAAAACTTTATTAAAGTCTTCTCATGAGGTTCAAAGGGTCCAAGGCTTTCAAGACTAAAAGACCAATCCCCAAGCTGGACAGGATTTGACTACTGCCGGCCAGGACTTGGAGAGGGCCCTAAAAAAAAAAAAAAAAATCTGCTACAAAAAAGGATCTTGTTGGAGAGAGACCTGAAAGAAAATATTAAGAGCCGAGGCTTGCACCTTTAAAAGTGCTGACCAAGAGACTCTGGTCTGCCTCGTTCTGGAAAAAAAAATCCAAGACTGCCGGAATATCCAGAGTACCCCAATCCCGTTCAGACAACCAGGGGTTGAATCTGTTCCAAATGCTTCTTTTTTTTTTTTTAATTTTCCATTACGAAAACAAAACAACCTTATACCTTAAAATTCACATATACACAAATTCCATTTAAATTCTCCTATTCTCTACCCCCCACCCCATTCAATTACCCCTGTCTATATCGTTAATCCTTCCTTCCTTAAACCTCCAATCTGTTCTAAATGTTTTCTTCTTATCCACCCTACGTTCCAAGGCCTCCTGGAAGCCTGGACCAAAAAATGTATCCTTTAAAAAAATGAAAAGGCACAGAGGTGCAGTTTTGACGCTGAATCACCCAATCAGGTTTTCAACCACAATGCCCTTCTTGCTGCGTTTACTAATGTAGAGGATTTTGCAGCTAGTTTGACAGATTCGCCGAAGCATCTGGAGGGAATCCTACCACTTTGAACAGTAAAGGAAAAGATTTCAGTATCTGTTGCCTGGAGGTCCCCACCAAGAGATGCGTCTGCAACTGAGTAAGCCAGCACTCAAGATTTCTGGCGAAACAGGTGGCTGATGTAGCCGGTTTTAAGGTGACTGAGGTAGAATCCAAAGCTCTCTAGAGCAAAATGTCCCCCCTCTTATCCATGGGATCCTTAAGAGCCTCTATATCCTCATAGGCTAGGTCCATCTTTTTTTAGATCTTAGATGGGGGGCATCCAGCTTTGGTACCTTGTTCCATTGTTGGGACACATCCTCAAAACAAAATCTCTTAAGACTACCCAAAAAAAAAAAAAAAAAAAAAAAAAAAAAAAAAAAAAAAAAGGGGTTTTCTTTCAGTGTTCTCCCATTCCAGATTGATAGCATCAACCAAGGAACTATGAACTGGAAAAACCCTAGCCTTCTTAGCATGTAACCCCTGGTACGTGAGGTCATGCTTAGATATAAATGTACATCCCCCTGTTCAATCTAGGGTTTCGTAGAGGGCTTTAAGGACGTCATCTACATCAAGGGTCAATTTGTACCTAGAACCCCTGAAGGAGTTACCTTCACTATCATCCTCCTCTGAGACTGACCCTGCCGGGCAGGAAGCATGGGATCTTCTTCTGGGTCTTCCTCCCCCCTGGCTAAATGACTCTGATAAAAGGAGTTGTACCCACAGACTGGGTCGGGACACCACAGGCATCTGCTTCTTGTCCAGCAAATGGAGTCATTTACTAGCTGTCAGAGTCCCCATTTCTATTAAGGATGATATGGCAACTACGTTTCAGTAGTTTAAATCCTCAATCTCAGGTGGTGGTGGGGCAGGCTTCTTGTCTTCCACAGTGGTGTACTAGAGTGCAGGAGTCTCTGCTTAGTTGGATCTGGGTTGTGTTTCGATTTTTGTAGGTTAAAGACCAAAACAAGAGACACAGAATTAAGCTCCCAAGAGGAAGTGTGCAGTCTGTGTGGCCAAGCTAGGCTTAACTTGGAAGAAGCCCTTATGCTGCAGTTGTGTGGATAGCCTAGTTAAGGATGAGTATGTTTAACTAGGCTAGCCACACAACTGCAGCACCCTCCATTCTGTTCCTGTGGTGTGATGCCCACAGCCTCCGCTGGGTCTTTAGCCACGCATCACTGGCAGCCCTAGTAATCCTGCTGCCTGCGCGGCTGTGGAGACCGAACCACGAGTCCTCAGAGCCCACTGATTTCCCACCGGCCGGAAATTCCAGGAAACCAGCTTGGAGTGCAGCCACTCTGCCCACCAGGAGTAGTGGCTGACTCCACCTTTTCGCCAGGCAGAGGACGCCGAGCCGGCCAGAATCCTTCGGCAGTGGCTTGCCGGATACCATCAGCGGTCTCCTCCCCTCTGAGGACTAAAGGCAACAAGAGCGCAGCCCCACTCCCACTCTCTAATGGAGGGTTCATGCAGGGCATGGAGGAGGTGGTAACTCCAAGACATCCTGCCATATTACCAGAAGCCACCAGCACAGCCCTAGAGCTCCAACGCAGGTTCCTACAAGTGCATCCTATCCTTCCAGGAGGAAACACGAATACTGAAGAGGGAAGCCTGGAGGACCGCCATTTAAGGTTCTGGGCTTACATGTTTCCTGTCCTGGAGGGAGGGAGGAGCTCTACGTCTCAAGGGCTGTCCTAGAAGTGCATTTTAGGAATTTGTGACAAGGCAAACAAATGTAAACTTCAATTAACTTTAATAAAGCAACATAACTTGAGCATGATATAAAAAAAAAAAAAATCTGTCATTACCATCTACAGATACGAACGTATGTATGACTAAATAAAAGCTGTACCTACCTGTAAGACATCTGGTATGGCTTCAAAAAGGTCAAGCAGTTTGGTGAAACCATAATAAGTCAGTTTGCACTGGCGACCAAAGTGATGGTGATAGGACGGAATAAACTTATTAAATGGCATCCTGAAATGAGGTTGGTGACGTAAAAGGTCAACTACTTCCTTTGCAAACTGCTTTGTCCTCTCAATCTCTTCTGGAGTACGTTCTAAAACAGATAAGCAGTTTCTAAATATACAAAATACCAAGGTGGTAAAAGGGCACTATGACCAATAATAATAAGCCAATCAAAGCTTTTAACACTCCCTCATATAACCCCTTCCCACCATGTAATCCTCAGTTCTGTAGTATGCAATGAAGGACCAAAAAAAAATACTAAGAAGGGTGCTGTACCTTACTCAAAGAAAATTGTGCATGGGGCTTTATCTTGGTGATAGTACAGGACACAGGAGCATTAAAAAAAAAAATCACACAAACCCTCAAAACAGAGCATCTACTGCCAAAGCTTCAAAGCTAGATAAATACCTTGTTCTGGACACAAAACGGTCCTGTTTCATGTTGAGCTTGGATGCAAGGAGGTCCACATCCAGAGTTCTCAAACGATGACAGATCTCTCTGAACACCTTCAGACATAGTGACCATCCTGTCTGCCTGCCAGTTTTACATTTCTGGGATGTGCACAGTAGATATGGCCAGAATACTGCTATCTGCCTAGTGTAAGATGAGATCGGACTCCTGAGCTGCACTACTTCTTGTGCCTTCGTGGTGGTTGATGCATGCCAAAACAGAGTACACTGACCATAAGGCTATTGAGAAGGTCTGTTCCTCCACAGAAAGGAAAGAGAAAAATCACACTCATCTCATACTGATAGGAAGTTGAATCCTCACCCCTTATGCTGTGGTAGTCCCTAACACTCCTCAGTCTGGCATCTGTGGTGATGCAGTGGTATCCAGTTCAGCAGAAGGAAAATTTGCCTAGTTCAAGCAATGGACTTGGCATCCAACACAGATAATTACGGGCTCTGAAAGAGGAGTTGTAGGTTAGTCCAGGGACTTATTCGAATTGTTCCAGGCCATCAAAAATGTTGCACTGTAAGTTTTTGTAATATTATTGAGCATATGGGACCATTTCAAAAGGACACCACCATGAAGTCCAAGGCTCACATGGAAGTCCTCACCAAGGGTCTGAGTTTGCATCCAAAAGGGAAATAATTTTCTCCTGCGGCAGGACACTGTTCTAGTTTTCTGTAGGTTGAGAATCCAACCGAACCTCTTGAAGTCCATTGGAGGTTCTCCCAAAAGGCAAGAACCAACACCTCTCTCACAATCAGGTCATTCAGGTTTACTAGGATGCGAATAGCCTTGGAAAGCAACAAGGCGATCATTGGGGCAACAGCTCTGTAAAGACCTGGAGAGCCATGGCCAATCTGGAGGGAAGTGCCACAAATTGTAGATCGTGCTAAAGAGGAAAGATCGTGATGAATGCATCCTTGATAACGATCAATGCCATGAATTCCCACAGATGAAGAGCTGCTATGACCAATCTTGTGGATTCCATTATGGGACTTTCAGAAAGATTTAGCAACCCGAGGTTCACAATGGATCCAACCTTCCCATTCGACTTAGGAACCATAAACAGGTTCAAGTAGAACTCCTGATAGCTCTCTTCCTTTGGGACCTGTATCAACTTCCTGAACCTGAAGCTGGGACACAGCTTTGAGTAAATCTGCTCTGTGCAGACTTGAGAAACACACTGGATGGCAAAAAATGAGGTGAACTGCTCTGAAATTCCAGCTGGTAACTGGGAGAACAAAACCTTCTGAAGCCAGGAGTCTGAGATCTCCTGACACCAAATAGACAAAATGGTAGCAAACCCCCCCCCCCCCCCACCGACAAATGAAATGCCCTTTATTGCAAAGGGGATATAGGTTTGGAAGGTCTGGAAGTCAGACTTGCAGGCAAAAGGAACTGCCTGGTTTGGCCTTGGACATGGACTTCTGGGGGAGAAGGAAAGGATGACTTTCTGAGCTGAGGGACCTGGCTTAGACAGAGTTCCTCATCTTACTGGGCAAGAGAGTACTTTCCTACCTGTGACCTTATGATGTAGGCATTCAAGGACGTTCAAGTACAACATGAGAAAACCATACGAGCGCGTTGCTCATCCAGTCCACGCAATAGCATAGAGCTTTTGTGAACAGATTAAACTGGCACTACAAAGAGGGGCTATCCCTCATGCCACTAGGGTTCCTAGACAAATGCCTGATCCAGACCCTGAATGTCTGACATACCATTATAACCACAAAGGGTTGTGCGGTTGGTATAGACAGGGAAATTTAGGCCTTGAATAGGCCCTCAAAGTGCTTATCCACAAATTTCCTATAAGTAGTCTTCAAAAAAAAGAAAAAAGAAAATAATTGAGGCAAGTGATAGCTCTATCTACCTCAGGAAAAAATAAATAAATTTGGAAAATTCCTTGAAAATGGCATATTGTTGTGCAAAGCGCTTAGGAGGGAGGAATTGCAGGGATGGCCTGTATCCTGCAATGTACTGCAAGAAATGGATTTTCACGAAAAAGCAAAAACGTCCGCTTATCTTAATCGTACAGTACAGGGCACAGGCAAAGTATTCATAGACCCTGGTATGTCCCAATGCAATGAATGAGAAGGGTGGGCAACAAAAAACAACAAAACAGACATGTGCTAACGGACCCAATAAGGGTTAACAGACAACTTCAGAGTGTTCCTGCATGAACCTTGCAGTCGAAAACCGCATCTGCAAAAGATCAAAAATGTAGGCAAAGATGTGGTGGTGACCTTACAAAGTTGAGAATCTCTAAATGCCCAGGAAGCTCTCAAACTCTCTATGGATTGTGCAGAGTTAGCACAGAGTGTTGGAGGAGCCTTTTAAAATATAGTCTATATATGGAGATGAGCAGTCTTATCTACATGAAGAGAACTGGAAAAAAAGGCGCTGTGGAAAATGCTCTCAGACAAGCACCTTAGTGGAGGTGCATCTTTATTGGGTGAGATAAAGTAGCAAGTATAATAAAATTAACCAGCCTGAAGTGGACAGTGTGATTCCAATGGACGGCCCGTCCGCTCTGAGGGGAGCTGAGATCAAAGAATGCTCCTGTCGGCTTCAAATCACGTGGTGTCAGCGTACCAGCGTCCTGGGTGGTGTCACCATGGCAAACGAAGGCAGTGTCCAGCGTTGGCTTCAGCTGGGAGCATATGTGGGGTTACCAAGACGACATTTTCGCGCAGTTGCGCTTTGTCAAGTCTCTGGTAACCATGGCCGGCGGCCATTATATAGAAGACCATTAAAGGGAAGGCTGGCTGAGTGTAATTAGCAGGGGATGGGGTGTCAGAGCGGACGACTCGTCCTGAAGCAATGCTGAATACAAATTTAAAGGTACAGATTGCAAGTTATAAAAAATGATATGTATAAAAACAATAGCATTGGAAAGCATGATATACTTTCATCTTTAGTAAAATAAAGGTAATACAATAACAAAAAAAAAAAAAAAACAAAAAAAACACACAAGTTAAAAATGACATCGCTGGTTCATGGAAGCTATGTCAAAAATTGCGTTTACAGTGAGGTAATTATGGGTATATGGGCAAAGAAGGGAGTAGGGAGAAGTGAATGCTAGGCATATGAAAATGACTGTATCAAAGGTATATGAAAATGACTGTATAAAAGGTATGACTAAAAGGAATATAATAAAATCAATCCTGGTATCAAATTAGGTAGCTCATATGTTCATAATTAAATAAATATAATAGATGCGTAATAACATGTATTCGTAATTGAGTGCACAGAATATATACATGGTGACAGTGCAGATTAAAAAACAAGGATTAAAAGAAGACAATACTGTATGTAATAAAAAACACACTGGAGGATCCTAGTTCCGGGGACTAGAAGTCAAACTTGTTAAATAATGCTATGGATTTCAAAATCCTCATTGAGACCATTGGGGGTCATAGAACCTAATTTGTAGATCCAGAACGTCTCTCTCTTACACAAACGGGCTAGTCTTTCATTGTCAGTAAATGTACCCTTTGGAATATGTTCGATTGCTAAGACCTCAAGAAGACTGAAATTATTTTGATGGGATTGCAAAAAGTGCCTAGGGACACTATGCTTATCGCATCCATCTCTTATAAGTCTTCTGTGCTCCCTTATGCGTTTGCGTAGAGGGCGTGTGGTTCGGCCTACATATAGGAGCTTACACGGGCATGTGAGAACGTATATGACGTGGTCAGTCTTATCTACATAGCGAAGGCCAATTTTGTAGCAAGATGTCCCTGGTGCAGTCCTGAGTGCTAGGCCAAAAAGAGTTCCATTTTCCTGATAGACTTCAATGGCTTTGACTGCGTCCAAGCAGTGAAGAGCAATTTCCTTTTGGGGCTTCTGAATAGGGCAAACAGATGGAAGCATATCTTCATTGAGATGGAATACCGAGACCACTTTGGGAAGATGGACGCTTAGAGCATAAGGCTACATTGTCCTGAAGGATGAGGAAGGGCTCCTCACAAGAGGGTGCTGTTGGCTCAGAGACACATCTAACAGACATGATGGCAACCAAGCAAGCCATTTTAAAAGGAGAGACCACCTAAGAGAAAGTTCCTGATTGATTCTGAAAGGGTGGTTTCTGCAGGGAAAAAGAAAACCAGTTTAAAGGTCCCAAAGAATTACAGGGTGCTGCAAGGGGGGGCCTGATAGGAGAAACACCTTGGATAAAAGGGTTTAACAATACAGGATGAGGACAGAGGCTTTTGGAGAATAGAAAAAAAATTAAACCTGTTCTTTCCAGAGTGCTGAGAGGCAATATCTTGTCAAGCCCAGATTGTAAAAAAGCCAGCATACAAGGCATGGAGTATTTTTCTGGTCTTGAAATGCCTGGGTTTACACCAGGAAAAGGAGGATTTCCAGGTACAATAGTAGATCTTTTTGAAAGTGGCTTTTCTTGCTATCAGCAAAGTGGGGATGTCAAGCTCAGAGACCCCTCTGTCTTTTAAAACCTGGACTTCAACAGCCATAACATTAAGGCCTCATGCACACAGCACTTTTGCCAACTCTCCTAGAAGCCTTTCCCCTCACAGCAGCTTTTTGGTAGAAAAAAAAACACCTAAACACTTGTAAAAGTTTAATGTGCTTAGGTTCCTCAAGTGCTTGGGCAATTCATTTATTTCAATGGCCAGA